CCTTGTGTCGGGGGATCGGGGTGCGCTACCCATCGCGTACGTATTTGTGTTGAATGCCGAGGTTCTTGTCGTGGTAATGTTTTAAGTCCAGTAGAGCTGCGATCCAAGTGTCGTGTTATTAGAAGTTCTGACCATATCGGGACAACATGGGGAGAAGATTCCAGGCGGGTCAGCCTGACCACTTGTGGGTGTCTCTTCGTCCACGCACATATCCACAGTTTTTCAAAATCCTACTCTTAACGCAACTCTGCTGACAGTCCATACTTGCATTCCGAGAATCTAAGATTCTATCCAATCCTATCAAAAGATCTGTCGAATCTCTCAAACTTATTTCCCGATGAATATATATACAAATCCGCCTCACAACTTACCGATAGTTCAGTACAGTATCCTTTCAAACATGTCCCGCTCTTTTCCACCTGCTCTCTTTCCAAGGAGTACGCTTGGCTGCACTCAGTTTACACCAGCCCTGTCCCATACCACACTATAAACCGTAGTTACCCGGTAATTCCACAGCTCCAAGGAAAGCGGCCCGATTGCACCACATTCGCCCACCCTGGTTCAGTGTCAACCTTTCTAAAGATAAGTTGTACACAGAAACAACTCCACAAGGTGCAATCTGCTGCACGTCTTCCTCATGCCCAATCCTCAACTCTGCTCTTTGATCCTCCTCGCAGCAGAGCATTCACACCCGTTTTCCTGCCAACTCAGCATAGTCTAGTCTCATTTTTAGTTTCTACAACTACATTTCATCAATCAATCTACAGCAGTCTTGATCCCAACAATCCTGTTTGATATGCTGTCAACCCCACATAAACCACTTGTCAATTGACTACATAATACTCTTCTCAAACTTCTTCCAATCAACCTTTCGATCTCAACCTTCATGTCGTACACTCAAAAGGCTTCTCATTGTTGTCCATGTCCTCCTCATGCCTGTTGCCTACAGTTCCTTCCATACAAATATTCCTTCAATCCCTCACTCTTCTTTCTGTTCCAGTCAATTCCCACCATATTTCCTGCGCTCACTCTTGCAACTTTAAGTCTCATGCTTACCAATTACTCATTATTCCAATGCAAACATGTATTTCTTCACGAACTTGTTGGTAGCATGAGCATGCCAGCACTTGTTGGTAGCATGAGCATGCCAGCACCAAGTTCCAGGTTGCTGCACCAGATTATCCGTTGTTAGCGCGCTCTCCTTTAGCTCCACGTTGATGTGTTTTCCGACGTCCAGCAGCTTGATCGTGTGCCTTGTCTTTCCAGTTGCTTGATCCACCCCCACTTGTGTCACCACCGCAAATTGCCACCCTGCTCGTTTCGTTTTGTAATAGATGTACGATCCGATTAGGTCAGCAGTTGAAATATCAGGTCTCCCTCTGACATCACAACATAACTTGTAACCCTTCGCCACATGTCTTTCCCCCACTTTGTGTGCAGCTAGTCTCTTCGCCACTTGCACTCTGTACCTCCGATACATGGCATTTCCTCCTGCGGTTTGTTCTGGCTGTTGTGCCCAATATTTCATCACCACATCGCCATATTGTTCCAATTCCACCTCATGTTCCCAAGTACACTTTTCCAATCCCGTCCAATGCGTGTAATGTTGTACAGCGATCTTTCCACTTATCCCACGGCAAATAAATGCGATGCCTCGAAAGTTTATTTGGATTCAGTTGTCGTCTGTCCAATTCTTCCTCAACATCGTTCTCTGTGAGATGGAAGGGAGGTGCCAATTCCGAGTATCTGTTCAACACATACGTGCTCAGTGCCCAAGGTAAAAACCTAGGTTTGTCCGCCTTGTCAAACGCATTGTAACACTTTTTGCATCGATGCACTGACACCCTCTCATTAATCCCCTTCCCTGGCTCATCCTTACTTATTTCGAGTAATAAAACCTTGGGTCCCACTTCTTTGTCATCCGGTCCTTTTCCTGGTCCAACAAATAATACCTTGTAGGGACCCGTCCAGCAATGTGCTAGTTTACCGATTAACGCGTACGATTTTCCTCCTCTATTGTAATCCAGTGCCGATTTTAACACGTGTTCTCCCCCTCCTGAAATTGTGCTTTTATCGTCATACACTAGGACCCAATCGCCCTTCTCAAACTTTGCTCTTTTGCCAATTACTTCCCCTATCTGCTTATTCCTTTCCTGATGTTTCTGCTTCGTGATCTCATCCTCCTCACGGACCAACTCATATGCCTTCACTTGTCGGTCTCTGACCAGATCCAAATAGTCAAGTTGATCCCTTTTTAACCCTTGTATCCCCCTCGTACCCCTTCTTTCCAAAATGGTCATCGGCAGTCTTGGATACCGCCCAATGTGTACCATATTTGGTGCAAGCCCTGTTCCTCTGCTCACGTTATTATTGTGCGCCGAAATTGCGTGTGGCAACATTTCGTCCCAATCTTTTTGATTATCCGCCACCAG